TATATATATGTATATATGACAAACACATAATATAAGTTCTTTGTTAATTTTTTCTTGGCTTTTGTATGTGCTAAATTTCACTGTTGTCGTTGACTGTAGTTGTGGTCATGACAATGATGGTGATGCTGAATATGCCGTAGGTGCTCAGAGCTTATACTCGTATGGGATAGAGTGCTATATAAGTGTAATCTGTTATTGTTATTGTTATTATTATCATCATTATTTTTGTTATTTTGTTATTATTATTATTATTGTTTTTATTGTTATTATTATTATTATTATTGTTTTAATTGTTATTATTATTATTATTATTATTGTTATTATTATTGTTATTATTATCGTTAAGTGTACCCATCCAGAAGTCTCCACCGGCGCAAGTACTTTAGAATGTCAATTGTTGATGGTAATTTATTCATTTATTTATTTACTTATTCTTTTTTCAAATTTATTTTATCTCATTCTATCATATTATTTCATTTTATTGTTAAAAATGTTCTATTTTATTTTTTACCGTTTACAATTCAATTTGATTTCTGTGTTCCGCCTATGTGCTATTGCAGTTGTTTTCATTTCATCGTTTGTGATGATTTTGCACATTTTCCACGAGTATGCCTATGGGAAAGTCAATTGCCAAACAGGCTCTTTTGAATGTCACTAGTTCACCCCTCTGATAATGTTTCCCTCTCACAATTCTGAATACAGGCTGCCTTTTGTTTGAACTGTGAGTCTGCTTTTAGTTGTTGGTTGGTGGGTGCTTTTTTGTTTTGTTTTGGTTAGTGCATTGCGGTGCTCCTAACTGCGTAAGGTCATAATTATGAGCAATGAGCACGCGGTACACATTAAGCATTTTCAGTATGGTAGGCCGAAGCTTTCTCTTATCGATTTTAGGACCACCATGTGATCTTGAACAGATTTTTTGCCCTTGTCCAAAAAGGCTAGGTGTTAAATCTTACCTACTATAAGATCAGGGGTGTAGCTGAAAGAAAGCAGTATGAAGGAGCCAAGGAGTAGCAGTAGAAAGGCTGCAGAAAGAGTCTGTCGTGCTGGCACGCACACACACACACACACACACACACACACACACACACACACACACACACACGCACACACACACACTCTCTCACACACACTCTCACACACACACACACTCTCTCACACACACACACTCACACACACACACACACACATACACGTACACACACACACACTCGCACACGCACAAATTCCCCCAAACCCCAAAGGCATAGGCACAGACACCCTCACAAACACACACTTTTTATAATAATTTTCTTCCCATCTTCCTCAGGAAAACCCGGCCCAAGATCCTCCCCAACATTCTGTACAATATAGGGGACACGCCCCTCGTGCGCATCAACAACATTACAGCCAAGGAGGGCATTGAGTGCGAAGTCCGTGAGTACTCTGAACGTGAACAGCCTTAGCTAGCTGAGGGGGTGGTTGGCGGGTGCTCTGGTGTGGTTCGCTCCTTCTTTCTTTTCTATCAGACGTCTGTCGTCCTTATGTCTCTTTTTTTTGTTTTTGTTATTCTGTTGTAACACCTCCAATCTTCGGCACTTACATAACCTAAGTGGGTTACAAGTGCCGTAAAACTCGTATTAAATAAAAAAGCTTGGCTTAGCTAAAGAGCAGAAGAAGTAATGGGCTTATTCAGCAAAAATATAGTTCCTAGTTAATTCGGTTTGTCGAAGTGAAGTAGAATTTAGAATGCTATCTTAATTAAAGTGCAAGTGTTTAGATGAAGTGGGGGGGGGGAGGGAGGGGGTCAAGAAAAGAGAAAGATAGAAAGAAGAGTGGAAGGGGCGGGGTGAAATGTAGATAAAGGGGGAGACAGACAGACAGACAGACAGACAGACAGACAGACAGACAGACAGACAGACAGACAGACAGACAGACAGACAGACAGGAGGCAGAGAAGGAGACAAAGAGAGACCAAGACAGGGACAAAGAGAGACAAAGACAAAGACAAAGAGAGATACAGATATAGACAAAGAGATGCAGATATAGACAAAGAGATACAGAGAGAGACAGAGAGAGAGAGACAGAGACAGAGACAGAGAGAGAGAGAGAGAGAGCACAGGGGAATAATGGTTAAGCTATTTAACACTTCATTTTTAAAAAATGTGAGTACAATTCGGGCTTGGGCAAGTTACATTTATCCACAAGCATCCCTGTCTGTCTGCTCATCCCATTCTACGACACCTGGCCTCGACAAGTAGGATAAAAAAATGATTAATGTAGATTGTGTGAATAGAGACATAACAAAACATTTACAATGATTTATTAACAACTGTTCGACCCTCACTGACATGCAGGAGGCCTATAGAAGCGGTCTACTTTGTGTGGCATCAGTGGCCCAGGGGTTAGGCTCTCAGACTGGCAATCGGAAGGTCATGGGTTCGAATCCTGTCAGGGGCCCAACAGGGTGCTCTTGAGAAAAGCACTTTACATGCTATGGTGTGGCCTAAACCGTCCACTTCTTTTCATCATTATTTCTTTATTGTCACAATTTGTGTCTTCTGGTAGCTCTTGCTGATGCTTAGTTCCAAACAGAAAAACCTCAAGGACAATCAGTTGCTTTTAAGCACAAGGGGACTATCCCACAAAATGCTATTTTTAGAAAATCGGAGGTAAAGTTTTTGCCCCTTGTTCAGTTTCTTTAAAAGACAAGGAGGGTTTTTAAAAAATAACCAAACAGATATACACACCAATGAAACCAAGCTTCTCCTATAGGTAAGGCAATGCCCACTTTTGGTGTAGGTCAAGATTTCTGGAAACCCCAGAAACCTGGGTTAGCCCGCTTGTCCTTAAAAGCGACTGATTATTGAATGTAAATGTGACATTTTGAAATTTTTGCTGAGTAAAAACATACATAACAGAAGGGTAGATAAGAATGGAATATGTATGACTGACATTTCAGAAACTTGTGAGTAAAAGTGAAAAAAGAAAAAGGAAGCACAGAAAACGTGCCTGACATTTTGGAAATTGTTGCCGAGTAACCAAAAAATGGAAACCCAGGAAAAAAAAAGAATGAAGTGTAGGCTTGACATTTTGAAAATTGTTACAATTGATGTTTTAAAAAAAGGTAGAGGGGAGGGGGATGCAATGTACATTACTTATTCAGTTGACCTTTATCAACGAATGTTCCCAGATGCAAAATTGGGTTACCGTTAGCTCAGTTGGTATAATACTGGACTTTGGCGTGTATGACCTTGGTTTAAATCCCTACGGGGATGGCCTTGACTTACGGGTATTTGGAGCGTTTTTAAGGTTCTTAAGGTTTTCAGGGTTTTCTGCTTACTTCTGAACCAAGGTGTCTTTGATGCTACTTTGAGAGGTCTTTTCTCGTGATTAACTTTACAATGTTGCAAAGGGTGTTAAACCTGCACATTGACCAACCGCCTATGACTAAAACTGAGTCAATAATGCTGTAAAACTCTTACTCAAACAAACAAACAAACAAGCACAGCGGGTGGTTGGCGGGTGCTCTGTTGGGGCTTACTCCTTTTTTCCTATCAAACATCTATCGTCTTTATCTTCCCACCTTCTTTTTTGTGTTTGTTACTCTCTTGTAACACCTCTAATCTTTGGCACTTATATGACCTTATTGTATTGCAAGTGTCGTAAAACTCTTACTTAAACAAGCACATTGACCATGTTTAATATCCTGGGTACTTGGAGGGCGCCAATTATTAGTCCTGCTTCTTTTCTTTCCCTTTTTTGTTTTTCTCTGTCTGTCTTACTTGTTCCCTGCTTTAAAAGACTGTTGTTGCGTTAATTTTCTTCTTTTTGCTATAACTTCCTCCTTAATCTGTTTATTGTGGATATGTGAGTATTCAAACTAGGTCATATCTCCCACCACTGATATGTTTATCCTATTCTTTTCTATCATTCTATTGTTTCCCTTTAGTAAATTAAAAACTGAAATGACCGTTGTTACGTCGCTGTGCTAAGACATACAAATTAATATTTATTTCCAGTCGTGAAATGCGAATATTTCAATGCTGGTGGCAGTGTCAAAGACAGGATCGGATACCGTATGGTTTCAGACGCAGAGGAGGCAGGCCATATCAAACCAGGGGATGTGCTCATTGAGCCTACGTCAGGGAACACAGGTCAGTCAATGTGTAGCACGCATGTCAGCTTGTGTGTTGCACTCATGTCAATATGTGTGTAGTTCACATGTCGATATGTGTGTAGCACACATGTCAGCAAGTGTGTAGTACACATATCAGTAAGTGTGTAGTACACATGTCAGCAAGTGTGTAGTACACATGTCAGCAAATGTGTAGTACACTTGTCAATATGTGTGTAGTACACTTGTCAATATGTGTGTAGTACACATGTCAATATGTGTGTAGTACACTTGTCAATATGTGTGTAGTACACTTGTCAATATGTGTGTAGTACACTTGTCAATATGTGTGTAGTACACTTGTCAATATGTGTGTAGTACACATGTCAATATGTGTGTAGCTCACATGTCAATATGTGTGTAGCTCACATGTCACAAGTGTGTGGTACACATGTCAGCAAGTGTGAAATACACATGTCAGCAAGTGTTTGTTTTTTTAGCATTCCTTCATCTTTTGCTCTGTTCCTTCTTTTCTGTATTATATATTATAATGTTACTCTCTAGTTATACCTCTAACCTTGGGCACTTATATATGACCTAATTAGATTTCAAGTATAGTAAAGATTTCAGTGTGTTGCAAACGTGTCAGTCAGTGTGTTGCAAATATTTGTTGTTCACAGAGCTAGTTGTTGGTGGGTGCTACTGGTAGGACCTATTTGTTTTCTGTCCCTGAATTATTTCTGTCTGTCTACCTTGTTTTTTTCCAGAGGGTGGTTGGCGGGTGCTCTGGTCACGGCGCCACTTTTCGCCCGATTCTGTTACTTTTAGTTAGCGTGACTCAGCAGCCCGCCAGAGCTCCCCGGCTCGGGGTCACGGGGTTAATGAGCCCTGAAGTGACTTTGCCGGTGTCGGTCAGGAAGTTCGCATTTTTGACTATGTTTAAAACGATATAACTTCTTCCCAATCCCACATAGCAAACCATTACGCGGATGTACTAAAAGCTCAATGTCTTGAGATTTATTCTGCGTTAGAATGGTTAATTTCTGTGCCTTAGTTTTTGTTCTAGACAAGTGTTTGTAGAGTACCCAGTTTGTCCTATTTTAGTTACAAAGTTATGAATAAATGATTGTTAATTTAAAAAAGGCTCGACAGATCTCTCCAAAATCTGTATTAAACTGACTACGAATATCATGTCTTTTACCATGAGAAATCTTAAATCTACTCGAGAAGTAATAGTCAAGTTATAAGAGAAGAAAGATGCACATCTGCATTTTTTAACTAAAGACAATCCGCGTTAGCTTTTATTTTACTATTAAACAAGAGAAAGTTACTCTGCGTTTGTTCATGAATCATGCTGTGTCTGTGGCAGCTCACATACAACTAAAAAGATATACTAGAAGCGATTAAAAACCCCACAAAACTGTGTAAATACATGGGTAGAGATAAACTTCTTGTATTGAATAAAAATAATGACAGCTAACACATTCATTCTTAGTTTTTGTGTAGGAAATATGTGCGGACACAATTATGAATGTAAAGAAATCAGTCACATTGTCAGTTATTGCAAATGGTCATAGAAACGAAAAAAAAAGCTGGCAAAGTCTGGTGCTGATTCAGTGTCCCTGGAAAGCTAGAAATTATTCTTATAACCCAATTACGAGAAGTCATCCCTATTATTCAGTCAACTTACAAAACCCGGACTTAGCGTTTTAAGAAAAGTAAGGAATTTCTGGAGTGTAACAGATACTGTTCGTGTATTAGATCTACGTTGAAGATGTATTCTAGCACTAAAATCGATTTGTACATTTCATAGAGAAACTTCATGGTAACTTTTATAAACTTTCGAGAAAATATGCGAATATTCACGATTATATTAGACACATAAAGTTGTATTTGGAGGAATTACTTCATAGCGAATTGTGTGCCCGATGGATAAATTTGGAAAATTACAGCCTTTTATTATATGCGCAGATACCTTCTTTTCTGAGTATCTGCACCAATGCTATGTCGTTCATGTTCCAAAAGTTAGACAGATTTTGACGAGGCGTTTTTTTTATATATAGATTTTTTTTCATTCATGCTAGTCCAAAAAAATTACAATTTAGCATTGCTGACTCCAGCATGTCTAACGAAATATCCAGACAAGTTACAATGTCCGTTCCTTTTTGAGTCTCAAGAGCAGAAATGCGTGCTTTGGGTGCACTAAATGAGAATTACCATAAATACAAGGACACACCTTAAATTGTATTTTTAAAAGCACTAAAAATTAAGTCGGCCCAGACAGAGCGGCGACAGGGAGCTGACCCCCCGTGACCCCGGCGTGATAAGGCGCCCGGCGGGGAACCCCCCAAGGCAACTAAAATTCCACTGCCGGTGCGCCGTGTGGTATGGTTTGCTCCTTCTATCCTATCAAACATCTATCGTCCTTATCTCTCCTCCTTTTTTTTGTGTATGTTACTCTCTTGTAACACATCTATTGTTCGACACTGATATGACCTTATTGTGCTGCAAGTGGCGTAAAACTCTTACTAAAACTTAACTAAACTTGATTTTTCCTTCCATTAAATTACCATGAAAGTGGTTGGGAGTATATGCTCTGTTCTGATGTAGTTTCTCCTTCTTTCCTATGAGCATTCAATCGTCTTTATCTCTGTTCCTTCTTTTCTGTATATCGTCGCCTCTGAACTATTTTGTCCAAAGTGCCTCTTTACTTAAGTACACTTTGGTCAAAATAATTCTGAGGCGATGATATGTTACTCTCCCTTTATACCTCTAACCTTCGGCACTTTCATGACCTAATTCTGTCCCAATTACTGTAAAAATTTCACTTAAACTGAACCATAGAAAAGGGAACCCCCCCCCTCCTAAAACCCCCCCCCCAAAACAAACTATGAGTGAAAGTTGAAACAAACATCTCCTCAAGCAAAATAATTCACAAGGAGAGGACCAAACAAATCTTATATCTCACATTCTGCTTTTATCTCCCTTCCCTCCCAGGCATTGGTCTGGCCCTGGCGTGTGCAGTCAAAGGTTACCGCTGCATCATCGTCATGCCGGAGAAGATGAGTATGGAAAAGGTAAGGTCGAGGTCATCCTGAAAAAAAGGAAATGGCTTCCTCTTTAG